AAAAGAAAAGAAATAACGTTTAAACTAATTTAGTTCAATCTTTTTCTTTTCATTTTTAATTGAAAATTAGATCTTTGTACTCTTTATAAGTTTTTCTTTTCATTTTTAATTGAAAATTAGATCTTTGTACATGATATCTTATAAGTTGCTAATTGAGGAGTTGGGTAATTGAGGAGTTGGGTACATGTGGTTCAATTTTCATTACGTTTACATGCTTTTTCGACAATTAAAAAAATCAAATAGCATTGCATGTACGCATGAATTATAAACTAGTAAGTCTGGCAAAATTAAAATAAAAATTAAACTAGTAAGTCAAATATTACTTATTGATTGATTTTGTTATAAAATAATAGTGCATATTAAATTTGAGCTACTACAAAATCAATAATATTTAGATGGCTTCCCTAAATATTCACAAATATTATTATGGAAGTTCGTAAAATAAATGATTGTTGGGTTCTTGGTGTTACTTATTATATAACATTGGACAGAATTTAATCCACGAAAACACCCACAAGGCTGCGCTTCACTTAATTTTTCAGCTGCAAATGCGTGTAACATATTTTTAGAGTTACAATATATCTCATGTTTTAAATATTGTACGAAACGACACCCGCTGGTATTACCGATAATATCCGATACCGACGGTCTGACCTATATCTAACCTTCGAAACAACAATTTTTCAAATTATCATTTTGTACCGGTTTTCTATTGGATTTACCATTAAAGACAGGCCAATTGACCAGATATATCAGACTTTTTGAAAAAAAATATATTATTTTTAGATAGATTACGAGTTCGACACTTAATTTTAATATGTTTTTACATTACTAATAGATTTCAATTAACTATAGTATTTAATAAAGGAATTATATATTATTTATATTATAATAATAAATTAAATTAATATTAACTAAAACAGGTAATAGACGGTAATACCGCTTGTAATGGTTAAACTGCGTACCAAATGTCTTATTCAGTATAGTATTTAAAACATTGATACACTTCATTTCATTGTAGACCTAAAATTCATCTCAACAACTAACGATTATTTGCCATAAAAAAATCATCACCGGTGATTAATTATTCCAAGCACAAATTATTACAAATTGGATAATTTCTGGATTAGAAAATAATAACTTACCGAATATCTTGAAATTATATGCATTCTAAAATCTACTTATCAACTATCATAATATTTTTCTAAGAAAAAAAAAATAAATTAGGTAATTTTCATAGGTAATTAATTAATGTAGTCAACGAAAGACAAAATAATGCAAAGCCCTAAAAGAACTAATGAGACCAGTGACCACAATATTTGACTGACATATATTATGGGTACGTAAATTCTTAAATCCGACCAATATTTTGATACAATGATTTAATTTTACACCTGAAACTGTGCTTTATATTTAATTTAATAATTTCTCCTCACAAATAAACACATTGGCCTATGTAGTAAATGCTAAGGCGGCAAAATATACACAAACTTTGAAGCTGTCGTTGAATGTGTAAATATGCTGTTACAATTGTGTTTTATGTTGTTCAAATTTATTTTTAATTTGATTGATTTATAGGTGGTTAAACTCCATTGTTACGTTTTTAATAAAACTACATATTATTATCAACAATAAAGAGAAATTATATGCTTATGTGTGGTGGTTACAATTAAAGTAACAAATCCTAAATATTGAAAAATTGTTATTGATGACTCCAAAAACGTATCACCGTCGTTTCTATGTACGACCGTGCGATGACGTACCCGTTTATCCAGCCTGTTTTTAGTAGGGTTTGAGCACCGAGCTCCATATTTGGGTTTGGGTTTTCTTACGAAGTACTCACACGTGAGGGAAATATTAGAATATTCACTTCTGAGTTGTATCACACCGTTTATATAGAAATCGAAAAATAGACTTGACTTATAAGTCTAGTTGATTATTCCTCATTTCACTTATTTTGGGATGACACATCACTTGAGCTTTATTTGGGCTTTTTTCCCGTTTCTTACAGATGCTAAGAAAATTGACTTCACTAACGTAATTATGCTCTTTTAATTAAATCCATTTATATGGTATATATGTATAATTTTATAGCAACCTAAATCATTTTAATATACGTTTTTTTATTTTTTATTTTCTTAATGATTTGCAACCTATATATATGTTAAATAATGGCATTTTCTTATTTATTTGTTTTTGGGGAAAATAATTAGGAGTCACAAATGTTCATAAATTGCATTAATTGTTGAACAGGGAAAGTTATTAAATGAACAGCCGACTTTGAACCACATTCTGGCCAAGTGGTACTTTTGTTTTTTCAACTCATTTTCAATTTAATTAGGGATCATGTAAGTTGTACCTTTTAAAAAAAAAACACTATTTATGCTTTTTTCTAGTATTATACTATTATTTACTGTTAAATATTTTCTAAACTATATGTTATTTTTAAAAATTATTTCCATACCATAATTATATTTTATCTTTTATACTATTTATTTATGAAATTGCCCCTGGATCGACTGAAGTTTAAAGGGAAAATTTAATAATGTTTGTAGGACCATGAGAATTGAAGGCGTTGACCAGATCACCAGAACACAAATAGGAAAATGTTGACCTGTCCAATGGGCTTTGGTTCAATGAAAATTGCTATTGGGCTTGTTCAACTTCTTATAGCATATTGGCCCAATTTCGGCCAATTCCTAAAGAAAGTGTTGCCATAATGATGCTTCTAATTTCTGAAGAGGAATTTGCATTGTTTACTTCAAGCTCTGATTTTTATTACATCTATATTCCTTATATTCTTATTTATAAAATAACCTAAACAAGTTAAAAATATTTCAATTATACCTGACATCAGTATTTTAAAACGCGCATTGCGCAATATGTCGCGTTTTGGTCTTTACATTGCGTAGCATAAATAGCGTAGCGCATGGCGTAAACTATTCGAGCAGTTCACTTTTAATGGCAAAAAAATAATATATAACCCATAGAGGCAAATAAATAATTAAAATGATCTTGAACCATAAACTTGGACATTGAATCTAAAAAATAACATTCAAATATTAATTCTTCAAACAACCAAAGTCTTATAATGTTTAAAGTAAAGACTCAAAATCTTAAAAAGATCGGTGTTACATAATTGAATTTGTCTATCACCGTTAATTCTATCAAAGTTATGAAGATTTTTACTATCGAAAATCATTGGTACAATTTCACTACATTCTTGCATCTCATCATCATTTGGAGAAAAAATGGAAGTGTTCTTCTCATTTCACTTTTGAGTTTAAGAAAAATAAACATCATATGATTCTAATAGTCCAAAAGGTCTATCCTAGCTCCCTTGATATCAAAATTTCAAATAATTATTTTTTTCAAGAAAAATACAAAACATGATTTAATAATCACTCAAATTCACCATGGGAAAAATTACTCAATTTTGT